CGTGGCAAAGTGTAAACTAAAGTGTACACCATAGTGTACATGTAGCAAGGTTCTTACCTATTGAACTTTGCTATTTGTACACTAATTTTTGACACGTTGTTTGATAATTGCATTGTTGTCAAGTGTCAATTGGATGGGAAAACAGTTCGAAATTTACACTGTCTAACAAGGTAATGTCACGTGACAAAGTATAAACTAAAGTGTACACCATAGTGTACATGTAACTAGGTCCTTACCAATTGAACATTGCTATTTGTACACTGATTTTTGACATGTTGTTTGACACTTGCATTGTTGTCAAGTGTCAATTGCATGAGGAAACTGTTTGAAATTTAAACTGTCCAGCAAGGTAATGTCACATGACAAAGTGTAAACTAAAGTATACACCATAGTGTACATGTAGCATGATTCATACATAGTGAACTTTGCTATTTGTACACTGATTTTTGACATGTTGTTTGACACTTGAATTGTTGGCAAGTGTCAGTTCAAAGGGAAAACTGTTTGAAATTTAAACTGTCCAACAGGGTAATGTCACGTGGTAAAGGGTAAACTAAAGTGTACACCATAGTGTAATGTAGCAAGGACCTTGTCGATTAAACTCTGCTATTTGTACGCAGATTTTGGACATGTTGTTTGACACTTGCATTGTTGGCTAGTGTCAATTGGATGGGAAAACTGTTTGACATTTAAACTGTCCAACAGGGTAGTGTCACATGGCAAAGTGTACACTATAGTGTACATGTAACAAGGTCCTTGCCGATCTAAATTTGCTATTTGTACACCAATTTTTGGCACGTTGTTGACACTTGCAATGTTTTCAAGTGCCAATTGGATGAGAAAATTGTTCGAAATTTATACTGTCTAATAGGGTAATGTCACGTGGAAAAGTTTAAACTAAATTGTACATCATAGTGTACATGTAGCTACGTCCTTATTGTTTGAACGTTGCTATTTGTACACTGATTTTTGACACGTTGTTTGACACTTGTATTGTTGTCAAATGTCAATTGGATGGGAAAACTGTTTGAAATTTAAACTGTTCAACAAGGTAATGTCACGTGGTAAAGGGTAAATTAAAGTGTACATGTAGCAGGGTCCATACGGATTCAACTTCGCCATTTGTACACTGATTTTTGACACGTTGTTTGACGCTTGCATTGTTGTCAAGTTTTAATTGGATGGGAAAACTATTTTAAATTTAAATTGTCCAATAGGGTAATGTCACGTGGCAAAGTGTAAATTAAAGTGCACATCGTAGTGTACATGTAGCAAGTTTCTCACCGATTGAACTTTGCTATTTGTACACTAATTTTTGACACGTTGTTTGACACTTGCACTGTTATCAAGTGCCAATTGAATGGGAAAACTGTTTGAAATTTGAACTGTCCAGCAAAATAATGTCACGTGATAAAGTGTTAACTAAAGTATACACCATAGTGTACATGTAGCATGGTTCATACAAAGTGAACTTTACTATTTGTACACTGATTTTTTAAAATGTTGTTGGACACTTGCATTGTTGTCAAGTGTCAATTGAATGGGAAAAAAGTTTGAAATCTAAACTGTCTAATAGGGTAATGTCACTTGGCAAAGTGTAAACTAAAGTGTACACCATAGTGTAATGTTGCAAGGTCCTTGCCGATTGAACTTTGCTATTCATACACCAATTTTTAACACGTTGTTTGACACTTGCATTGTTGTCAAGTGTCAATTGGATCTGAAAATAGTTCGAAATTCATACTTTCTAACAGCGTAATGTAACGTGGCAAAGTGTGAACTAAAGTGTACACCACAATGTACATGTAGCAAGGTCCTGACCGATTTAACTTTACTATTTGTACACTAATTTTTGATACATTATTTGACACTTGTATTATTGTCGAGTATCAATTGGATGGGAAAACAGCTTGAAATTTAAACTCTCTAGCAGAATAATGTCACATGGCAAAGTGTTATCTAAAGTATACACCATAGTGTACATGTAGCATGGTTCATAGAGAGTGAACTTTCCTATTTGAACACTAATTTTTGACATGTTGTTTGACACTTGCATTGTTGTCAAGTGTCAATTGGATGGAAAAACTGTTTAAAATTTAAACTGTCCAACAAGGTAATGTATCGTGGTAAAGTGTAAACTAAAGTGTACACCATAGTGTAATGTTGCAGGGTCCTTGCCGATTGAACTTTGCTATTTGTGCACAGATTTTGGACACGTTGTTTGACACTTGCATTGTTGTCTAGTGTCAATTGGATGGGAAAATTGTTTGACATTTAAACTGTACAACAAGGTAATGTCACGTAGCAAAGTGTAAACTAAAGTATACACCATTGTGTACATGTAACAAAGTTTTGACCGATTGAACTTTGCTATTCGTTCACCGTTTTTTAACACGGTGTTTGACACTTGCATTGTTCAGTGTTAATTGGATCAGAAAACTGTTCGAAATTCATACTGTCTAATAGGGTAATGCTATGTGGTAAAGTGTAAACTAAAGTGCACACTATAGTGCACATGTAGCAAGGTCCTTATCGATTGAACATTGCTATTTGTACATGATTTTTGACACGTTGTTTGACACTTGCATTATTGTCGAGTGTCAATTGGATGGAGAAACTGTTTGAAATTTAAACTGTCCACTAGGGTAATGTCACGTGGCAAACTGTAAACTAAAGTATACACGAGTGAACTTTGTTATTTTTACACTGATTTTTGACAGGGTGTTTGACACTTGCATTGTTGGCAAGTGTCAATTGGAAGGAAAAACTGTTTGAAATTTAAACTGTTCAATATGATAATGTCACGTGATAAAGTGTAAACTAAAGTGTACACCATAGTGTAATGTAGCAAGGACATTGCCTATTGAACTTTGCTATTTGAACACAAATTTTGGACACGTTGTTTGACACTTGCATTGTTGTCTAGTATCAATTGGATGAGAAAACTGTTTGACATTTAAACTATCCAATAGGGCATTGTCACGTGACAAAGTGTAAACTAAAGTGTGCATCATAGTGTACATGTTGCAAGGTCCTTACCGATTGAACTTTGCTTTTTGTATACTGATTTTTGACACGTTGTTTGACACTTGCAATGTTGTCATGTTTCAATTGGACAAAAAATATTTGAAATTTAAATTGTCCAACAGGCTAATGTGTAATACCCTGAACTTCACGTTCTACATTTGGCCAATATGATTCATGCATTCCATGCTAATTACATTGTCATTTGCATCAATTTCCTAATTACTTTCTCTTAAAAACATGTGTTTGATCATCGAGGCTTTAAATTCTTTATATAGTGATGACCTTTGAGTCCTTGACCTAAGTAGTGAATTTCACATTGATCTATGATAGAAAATTAGGTTAACTAGATGTTGAAGATTAGCTTGGTAAGTAATGAAAATCGAAAAGGTCGAAAATTAGTATCGACAAAAGTTCAAGCTTTCTATTAGGTTGTTAGAGGTTACGTTAAACCCTAGATAGGTAATTGATATATTTGGGATGTGAGACATAAAGGGACATGATCATGATGCGATAATATATGTCTCATATGACGTTATAAATATTGAGGTGCAAATTGTGGAAATTAACCGAGAATCGGGTATCAATCGGGTAAGTAATTAAATGAACGGTTGATGAATTGGTTCTATAAAATACTTTGGGATCTTAGGACAAGTGAAATGGATTGTAAAAACATCAAAATAAGCTGAGGATACTTGGTTTGTGCCTGCAAAGATAGATATAAAATCAGATTTTTGCTACAAGTGACCACCTCATGCTTGAACACCTCGCGCTCGGGATGTTTGTCATTTTAGCACTCAATTTCTTCAACCTTAAGGAATCAATCTTGTATGTACCTCCTAAGCACTTAATATAAGATGGATATAAATCTTAAAAGTCACAAATGCATCCAAATATATTGGTTGAAAGTCAAGTATGACTGCAATGAAGACACATCGTGCTTGGACACCTCATGCTTGGGATAGTTGTCATGTTAACGCCCAGTTCCTTTGGGCTTAAGGCATGTCCCTAAGAACTGAATATAGGACGAATATATATATTTTATATCATAAATGGATCTAAAGATAATAGTAAGAAAGTCAAATGTTGCTGCAACGGAGACACCTCCTACTTACCTTGTGAAAACTTGTCAATCTATCATTTAATTTCCTTCAGCCTTAAGACTTCCAGCACGTCTCCTAAATCATTATCACTTTATGTTGGATAGATATACATCTTATAAGACACATATGCCTCCATATAAGGTAAGGGAAAGGTCAAAGTTTGCTGCATGAATCCACCTCCAGCTTGGACAGCTCATGCTTTGATGATACTTGTCTTTTCATTACACTTTCCTTCATCCTTAAGCATCATTCACGACTCCAACCCTTGAGGCTACTTATAAATCTCTTGGATAAGACATTTAAACCTCCAAATATATCCCCAAGTGAAAGGGAGAGCAAAGGAAGCCAAGAGAGATAGAAAATTAAGAAGCTGGGATTGCAGTTTGTAAAGGTTAGTTAAAGTCATGGTTTTGAAGTTTTTCTTTAGTCCTTTTGGGTGTTTTATAGTATGCTAAAACTCTAAACTTACTTGAAGTTAATTAGAAGGGTTTTTGATGATTTTATGATTGCAAAAAGAGGGGTAATCAAGTACAAGAACCTGAAAGAAACCAGCAGAAATAGAGATATGTTGATTGATGAATTTGGATGGTTTAAACTTTGATTTTGGATAATACATAAGATATAACTTGTATCTATGTAAATGAATGTTTTTACATGATAGTTATAAGGATATAAATGGCCTTCTAATAGCCTGAAATATGATTGGTAACATGCTAATAAAATAGAAACCGAAAACTGTCATAATGGAAAACCGTCTGATTTTAGTGTTGTGGAAATAGACTATTTTGAGGCTGAGAACACTTTATTTGTCACGAATTTAGAGCATGATTACCTTCATATACATGTTATAGAAATGTGGTAAAAATTTCGGAGTCATTGGATATAGATAAGGGAGTGAAAAGGGATTGGAAAAATAATTGGATGGTAAGGGAAATCTGAAAACAGATTCTGTCCAATTTTGTGTTTAATATGATTTCAGCCTTTACATGTACATTAATCATCTCTTGGGCCTAGAGAATAGATTCTAAGGGTACTAGGTTGTCAACAACAATTGGATGATGTTGATGTTCATAATTTGACTCGAGAAATAGGGAGATTTATGGGATAAGTTTGTAATGCCATTGGTAACTTGAAATGATGATTCTGTCTAAATTATTTTGGTGAGAATGGATGTATTTTGGGATTTTGTGCATTAAGGTTATTAAATTGAGGATTCTCTTTAATATTAAATGGTAATACAGGTGATTTTCCAACTTCGAGTGAAAAAGGATATTGATCTAATTTCCATAGAAGATTGCACACACAAAGGTGAAAGGTAAGTGAAAATCCATTTGCAACTACGATGCAAGAACCTAGTATATGTGACATAGTAATGTTGAAATATCTACATAACTTTGATATGAGGCTTATAGCACATCATATGGTGGTTACGATCATTGAGTATGAGGTTACGTAACCTATTGACATCGATTTCCATTAAATATGTCATTTATGAGCATTTTCATATGCATGCACGACATGGACATGGTTGAAAATCCTGCATGCAAAACATGATTTCAAAGTGAGTTTTATTATAAATATTTTATTGACCACTACTAGGGCATCGAGGCATGTGAGGCATGCTTATGTAATATGTTTGGCATTGCGGGTGTTACATCCAAGGTGATTGCAAAGGTAGACAGGGGATGGGCCTTTGGTGATCAAGGGAGGACGGACCACTCGACTGTGCCCTTGTGATATTATGATTATTGGTGCTGTCGGGTGGGAGACTTCTTGGGTGATCATAGGTGTAATACTCCGAAATTTTATGCTCGTTTAAATTTCTTTGGGATAGCGATTTTACTTTCAATACTATTTTTGGCCATAAGGTAAAAGGGGACACCACCTTTGTAGTGGTTAATGTTAGAGGTAGTTAATGAATGTAGGCATGAAGTGTCAAAGGTTGTGTATGCATGAAGTGATTATTAGTTAGTTGAAACTTAAGGCAAGTTTGGATTTGAATGAAGTGGATTATTTTGTTAGGACTTCAATTGACCAAATGATTAAATTATGTTACAATCTACAATTTTTGAATATGTAAGTTGGGTACAAGTTTAAATTTGGGATACACTTTGTTAACAATGAAAGTTAGAGGGTTTAGATTATATTAGTTGAAAAGATAAGAGGCTTCCTTTGTAAATCTAGGTTTTAAGGCCACTTATTACCGTATAATCAACTCACTTGTTGTCCATCATCACCATACACTTAGACAATAGACTAAACATGTGTAAAGGTAAGAAACAAGAAAAAAAAATGGAAAAAAAAGGGGTGAGGCGGTGGGTAGAGAAAAGAAGGAAAAAAAAATAAAAATATCAAGCCTTATCCTTATATATATATATATATATATATATATATCTATTGCCATAGAGAGATTTCCTTCATTTTACAAAACACTTATACACTTAAAAAGAGAGCAAAAACCGAAAATAAGAAAGGAAAGGGAAGGAAGTAAGATTAGCACTTCCAATTTACATCTCAATCGAAGATCATCAAGTTTTACGGTAAGATACTTTCTATGCTTAAGGGGTATGATTTTCATGGTAATACTTATGCTTAAGCTATGCATGAAAAACCATAATATGATTATGATGGACAAGTCCACAAAGTTAGATATCTATTTATGCCTTAGGACAAGTCCGAAGGGCACCGGCAAGCCGGAATATGCAAGTATGTGTTTGATTGCATCCTTTTGTATAGTATTATCATGATAAAAATCCAAGCATGGTATCTTACTGAGTATTCCTTATACTCATAGTATGTTATGCTAAATTTTCAGATCCATGATCGTTAGGAATGATGGAAGTTAGTGGCTTATGCGATGATGGATTAAGGACAAAGATGTTTTGCATCGAAAGTTTTCTTTTGTATGTTTTGTTCAATGACTGTTTCCCATCTGTTTTCCTATGGTATTATTTAAAAATATGTACATGACATGATGTATTATGGTATTAATAGTAAATTTTGTAATTATATCTTTCATGTTATGTTAAGAGACGTTTTTATAGTTTATTTTCCTTGCAAGTGATAAAAGGCAGAAACGGGACAGTTTCTGGAGTCATTTTCAAAATGATGTTTCTAACTCTGTAAACATCCATTTGTGACTCTAAAAATATTTCTGTTTTCCTCTTTGAGTTTTCTAAATACGGCCGAAGGAATCACTCAATTTGGATATCTATGGCCTGAGTTATCAAGGTTTTAACGTCAAGGGGTCAATCTGGATTTCCTGTGTAATACTTCACTGTTTTCAGTAAAACGTCCATATCATATGACCTTGGAAAATTTTCATATTTTAAACTAGAAACCTACTTGAAATTATCTTTCTAATGCCACAAATTTCATAGAAAACAGAGCTGGGATGAATTTTATAAAAATTGTCAAACTTGCTGCCTCAACTAATTTTGATAATGCCGAGGCTGTATATGTAAAGTATAATTTATTGTTGACATGCACTTTTGTCGGCTATCAAATTTTAGAAGAATTTTTTTATCAAATTGAAAAATAAGTTTCTAACATGTAATACTTCTATTTAAGAGTATTTACATGTATCAAAGGCAGAAACTATTATGTTTAGTACGTGACCCTCGAAGCTTAAGTTTGGGACATCACATCGTGGTATCAGAGCAAGGTTTACTTTTCTGTAGACTTTTTTAAAAGAAAATTACTGTCCTTAATCATTGAAGAAGCTAGCAACTGACTTTCAACCAACGATCAAGGTAAAATTTATTTTTAAATTCATGAGTTTTCTTATGTAATGAACTGTTATATCTATGGCTGGATATGGGAATATTTTTAATCAAGTCATGATTGAGATTATGAAGTCATAAACTCCTATATCTAGATATTTATGAGAACCTTGTAGAGTAACATAATCAATGTTTGTCCTAGTTATGGCACGAATGGTAAGAACCCCCACAAGGACAGAAGCTTGTGGTTTTGCGAAGAAGCGGGACATATTATTGGCATTTTACTATAATTATCGTATGCATCCGCTCCATAGTCTCGAACAACATTTGGATATGCTAGACTGTATTATTGAGATGCTATGGGAGATACACCATAGGAGATGTTATGGGAGATACACCATAGCTTAAGGGATAAGGTGAAGATACAGAGGTTATATGAAACTGTTCCAGAACCCTGGGCCTCAGTCATAAATGAGATTGTGCTATGGTCTGATGATGGCCTTTCGTATGAGGACCTTACATATTTGCTTCGAGAGAGCTATGGGACTAGCCGTGATTTACAGTGAAACTTTAAGAAGACTATAATCTTATCCATGAATACCAGTTTACGAGCTACCAATTTTAGGCTAGTTAAGGGACCGTTGGCTAAGTGCTTTTCGAGAGTTCTAGATGAAAGTTTTCCCATACCATTACCAGATAGTTTGAAACAAAGCATGTTAGAGGAAGAACCAGAGGAAGACCCAGATGAAGACCCTGATGAGGATCCAGAAGAAATAGAAGATTAGA